AATACTGGTGACTTCCCTCTGGGCTTCGGGTCACACAGCTGTATCTAGTGCCTTCTAGACACTGAGCCTGATGCTAGTAGACAGTGGCACCATCAGAAATGATGAGGACCTGCTTAAGGGGACCCTGCCGAGCGGGAGATGGAGGCAGGCTGTCCACGTCTTAGGAGGCAGCAGAGTAAAAAGAAGAGTGCTACCACAGGGGACCGGGGAGCCCCGAGGAGACCCTGCAGGGAAGTGGGAGGGCGACTTTGCCACTGTCTTCTGATGCTGCCTGTGAAGTGCTAACCATGGCCCCGGCCACGTGGGGCGTGTTCAATAGTGTGAGCTGTTTCTCAATCCCAGTTAATTATATCTTTCCGATCTAGGATTTCCATTTGGTTCCTCCTTTGCATGCTCACAGCTCTCTGCCAAAGTTTTCAATCTTGCCTTCTAAATCTTTGAGCATATTATCCACGGGTCTTTTAAAAGCTGACAACTGCATTATTTGAAGCCCTGCTGGGTCTCCTTCTGCTGTCTGTTTTTCTTTAATGCACAGGTTGTCTCGCACATATGCTGTGGGTCGGATAAGTGCTCCCCCAAGGTTCTTTTGCGGGAGGACTCGTCCCAGAGTGGCACTAGGGGAGGTGGAGAGCCTCCAGTGGCGGGGCTCGTTGGGTTCCTGGAAGCGTGCTCCCGAGGGGGGTCATGCTCCCCAGCCCCTTCCCTCCCTGTTGCTTTTCCTTCTTTTCTTTTTCTTTTTTTCTTTTTGGTGTTTTCAGTATTGCAAACCAGGGGCGCGCTCTACACTGAGTTGCACCCCCAACCCTTTTTATCTTTATTTTGAGACAGGGTCTCACTAAATTTCTCAGGCTGGCCTTGAACTTGTGATTCCCCTGCAAGTTGCTGGGAGGACAGGTGCACACCCCCACCCCTGGCTCTTCCTGCTCTTTGCCCTTTGCTTCCCGGCTGGCAAGGTGAGCAAGTTTGTCCCATCATGCACTCCCTGCGGTTGCCACCTGTTACCCTCACCAGAGACCCAAAGCAATGGGCCCACTTGATCTTGGACGGAAATTTCCAAAATCATGAGCTGATTGAACCTTTTCTCTCTGTAAATTAACTATCTCAGGTATTTCATTATGGTAACCCAAAACTTACTAATGTAACATGCCTGATTACTTCTTATTGATTGATGGACACTATACATCAAAACCTGTGGAGATCATTGGCACCGCTGGGTGGGGCTGTCTTTACTCCAGATGAGTGACTTTGTTCCTGCCGGGAGCTGGGTAGGGAGAACTGCAGCCCCAGGTGACCTTCACCCAAACATGACTTGAGGTGGTTCACAGGGGGCCTTCCCTGCTGGAGAGGGCTGCTGAATTTCTCCCCCACTTTTACCCTCCAGGTACCAGCCCATACTGTGTGGGAGTTTTCAGGACCCTTCATCCTAAATAGAGTATAGTTCAAATCTCACCCACGTGCCCCCACCAAGGAGGACCCAGGAATCCACAGCTCAGCTTGGTGGGCCGGGTGCTGGGGACGGAACCAGGGCCTCACCCATGCTGAGCATGTGCTCTAGCACTGAGCTACCCCAACCCAGCCAAGCCTTTTGGAACCTGCAGATGGCCCTGGTGAAAGGCCTCTGGGCTGGCCCCACCTCCCTGGGCCCTGCAGTCCTTCAGCCTTGGCACCTTCGAGCATCTTATCTGACTGTTCTAGATGTTTTTGCAGGAGGGTCTATCCTGAAAAACCTAGCCAGAGGTAGAACCTGGGGCCATCTTATTCGGGAAGGTTGGAATGTGAGTGTCACCCGAGGGTAGAGGCAGAAGTGACTGCAGAGCTGGGGGGAGACAGAGCAGAAGGACCTTGGTGTCATCCCAAGGATCGGGGAATTGACCTTTGGTAAAATTGAATCAGAGCATGATGTCATATTTTTTTTATGTTAAGGTCCTCCTGGTTGGTGAGAGTGGACAGATGGGGTAGATTTGAATCAGCGTGACTAACCCTGAAATCAGGGCTGTGTTGAGCTGGTAAACAGCAAGTGTCCACTTGTGGCATTTGCTGGTCCCTGTGGTATGAGTCCTCCCACCAGAGATGAGCTCAAGCCACTGACGTGACTGCACTGAACGGGAACTGGGGAGACGTGGGCACAGTCAGACCCTGCAGGCTGCAGCGCCCCAGGGCGTCAGGGAGGCTTGGCTGCTCTTCATCCATTCTAGAGAAAAACCATCTCCACATGTTCCAACTCCCACCTCCTTCCTCTCAGCACAAGTGACTCTCCAGAGGTCCTCTCACCTTTGCAGGAAATAATCCTACTGATGAATCCAGTGTATCAGAAACACTTACTGAATCTGGATGCAGACACTTTCCATGAGCCTGCTGGATCTGCGAGTGCATCAGCCAGTGCTGTGGCTAAGACGCAAGCACCCGGCTTTGGTGAGCAGCTGTGCACCCTGGGTTCCAATGGCTTTATTCACCATCTTCCGCCAGCATGCCATGCCCTAGGGCCTACCACCCAGAACAGGCACTACTGTCCAAACTTTGTAATTTTTTACTAAGACAATGGTACAAACACCCTAGTTGTTCTTTCCAAGTCATGGATATATATTTTAATATGAAGAGGAAGAAAACAAAATACAAACCCCTACAGTATAATTTGATGTCTCTCTTTGTCTATCTCCCCTCAGCCAGCCCTGCCAGGTACTAGTTCATTTGAACCACATCTAGCAGTTTATTAGAAGGTGCCCTGGCAGCAAGCCAGGCTTGGAGTCTGGCCTCCGGGGCGTCTCTGCCCACCAAGCTACATCCCTCCCGCTAGCTGACATCAGAGTGACCACATTTGCTCTTCTGGCTGCTGCAGAGCATTCTTTGTGTATAAACCAACCATTATGGCTCACTGTTTGCAAGAAGCTTGTTCTCCTACCAGATCCAAATAGTAACTCCTACGGATCCTTTCTGAAGTTCAGTCTTGCCAAGTGGTTTTTGCTCCCGTGTGTTACTACAGATCTGCAGGGAAAGTCAGCATTTGTCAATTTCCCTTAAGTTTTTGGAGATACGTGTTTGCTCTTGCCTTCTTGGCTTTGATGATTAACTCTGCAAGACAGCTTCTCTGCAGGCAAGAGGAGCCAGAGAGGAGGAGGAGACAGCTGGGTGGCCGCAGCTGCGCTGGGGAGTGGCCTGGGGCCTCGTGCATGCTGGGCTCACCTTGCCACTGAGCTGGGCCCCAGCCTGTGTGACACTACCTCCTCCAGATCTCTGGTCCTCTGGTCCATAACAGCACCCATTTTCATGATGGAAACATTCTCGTAGCTACTTTGCAGAGAAAGAACTTAAGGCTCAGAAAGATTAAGCCACTTCTCCAGACCCCAGTGAGCTTGGATTTGAATCCAGTTTGGTTAGTCCTTCCCACACTGGAGTCAGCCAGAGAGAAAGCTCGGGTTTCTCTGCTCATTGAATGGTTGAAAGAAGCAAGAATTGTGTTCATTCTTGTGGCGCTCCATTGGTTTGAATTTACACTGCTTAGGCAACTATTTAGTTCATATTTTGGAGGTTATTTTTTTTTTAATTTGTAGTAAGGAAAGAACAAGTCTAAAACTTTAATCGGGGTCACAGGGCAAGCTTTTCACCTAATTGTGTCCTCAGGTGACCAATTGCCCTAATTTGCAGGATTTGACTTTTTTGTTAGCCTTTGACACATGAACATTTGGAAGACATTCCAGATCCTACCGTAACCGCATTATGACTGCAAGTTCTTCATCTCAGCAAACCTCTCAGCCCCTGATAAACCAGGACCACCGGTCACTCGTTCTTTTTCTGTCTTTTTGGTACTGGGATTTGATTGACCACTGAGCCACATCCCAGCTCTCTTTATTTTGTACTTTGAGACAGGGTCTCTCTAAGTTGACTAAGGCCTAGCTAAGTTGCCAAGGCTAGTTTTGAACTCGCAACCGTCCTGCCTCCGCCTCCCAAGTCGCTGCTTGTGGGTCATTCTAACTTATGAAGGCTTAAAAGGCAAAGGCACCTCTGACGGCTGGTGCCACAAATTGCAGACACAATTAGTTTATCCTTGTACCCTGCCAATTCAGCTTGTTTTTGTTGGCAGAGAGGTGACCCATCTAGAGAGAGATCCAAAAACCACAGTGAGTCTCCACTCAGGAAAAGAGACTGCAGCCAATGCGGCAGCGATCAATCACAGCAGTCAACAACTGCCACTCTGTCAAGCTAATTTTCAACTAATCCATTCATCCTCAACATCTTCCAGCTGCATGATCAAGATACCGTGGACACGGGGTAGCTTAAAGCTGTGTTCAAACCTGGGTCCTCAAAGGGATGGACATTTTCTTCATCTTCTCCTTCCTCTCCTCGTCCCCCTCCTCCTCACACACGTCAGCTGCAGGGTAAGTGGGGACCTCGTTGTACAGAGAGGAAGCAGAGTCCTGGAGCAGTGGGCCCGAGCCGTGCTAAGCGTGTGCAGTGACCCCATCCTTGTCCTTGTTCCTTGTCCTTTCTCCTAGCTTTCATCAGAACACACATCTCCCCGGCTTCTCTGCCTGGCAGGGTCGATGCCTGCCGTAGTCCTGGCTTAGAGGGAGACTGTGGTTCCTTCTTCTAGGTAGCATGGTGTCTTCTCTGGGCTTGCTGGTACTGGTTTCCTGAATCCAATCCAGGTCAAGCTCATGCACATTTATTTAGCACCTATCTGTGCCAGATCAATCTCGCAGCTCTGGGGTGAAACCAGGGCCTGGCACACACTGGGCAGGTGCTGTGCTCCTGTGCTACCCACCCAGCAACTGCCTTTCTGGAATGGACTATTTAAGTAAAGAAATTTCTTCACAACGTACCACCGTCTGGTTCTGACAGTGGTTTCAAGCTCCAAGCATTGTCTGTACACCTGAGGAAACCACACAAGACCCTGAGCTAGATCTTAGCACATCCCACTAGAGATGCCTGCAGCCTGGGGAGGGGCGGATCTGCTGCCTCAGGATCACTGCTGTGGCTTCCCCAGCTCCTCCTCCCATGATCTCATCCAGCCTAGGCCCGTACTGCAGCACAGCATGGTGGATGGGAGATAGACTCGTCTGCAGTCCACCCGGGCTTAGACTGGCTGTCTGGCTTGGGCAAATGACTTCATCTTTCTATGTCTATTTCCTCTTCTTCATCTGGCACTGTGAGGACAGAACAAGACGAGCCGGGTAAGGGCATCTAGCGGTAAGCTGGCGGGAATGTGAGCATCCTCCTGACCGTGAACCCCTGAGCATTTACCCCCTTTCTCCTGAGACCAGGAAAGCCAGACCAAGCAGGGAGAAACTGTCTGCTCACAAGGGCCAAATAAATGCAAATAGAATCTGGGTTCTCAGATCAGCAATCCTAAGATTTTTTTTTCCTTTGCCCCATACGTATCCTAATGAGAGGTTAAAACTAGTGACTCATAGATGGAATATTTTACCTGCTTGCTTTATGGTCTTATTTAACCGGAGCATTACTCACAATGAAATCTGAATATTTGGCTTTTCGAGAGAGAGAGAGAGAGAGAGAGAGAGAGAGAGAGATCAGTTTGGCTCCAGGCCTGCATTCTTACGGGTCACCCATCTACTGGAACTACCTGGTGTCAATCATTTAATTCTCTGCAGGCCCCACCCTCCCCTGTCACCACTCCGACCTTGTGAATCACGGCTGGGTTCTATTGGTATCTCTCATTACACACAGACTCTTCTTTCCCTCGTTTTACAGAGATATTTCCCTGGTTCTATCATTGACCAACAGACTCCAGGGCTCCCTGAGCGGTCCTGTGGTGGTACAGCCTCGAGCATGGCCCCACTTCCCTGGCCTCCCAGACAGACAGGCCTAGAGGTCATGCTCTCAACGCTCCTCTGGAAGCACTGGGTGAATACTGGCCCTTCCACCAGTGGAACACGTTTTCCTCCCCCATGTTTCAGATGGGAAAATGGGATTGGAAGGAGCTTACCTAGAGCCATGAGGGCCTGATTGGATACGAGGTCTCCCGAGCTCTCCCGAGGTCCTCAGCCTCCAGCTCTAGACCGACTTGCTCAAATAAAGACTGTGGGGGCGGTACCTGTGCCACCTCCCAGTGTGGCGCTGTCCTCCCTCCTGACCACCTGAGGACAAGGGAGGAGGGAGCGGCCCTCCCACACACCCACACAGGGCCAGACAGCCCCAGGAGGAGGTGGGCCCGCTGGGGAGTTGAGCTCAGCTTCCAGGAGGGTGACTCAGGCCGCAGAAGCCAAACTGGTTCTTATCTGCATAAAACGGGACAGTAGGTAGAAACCCAAGTGGGTTTATGGGCTTTGTGCCCACCCCAGCCCCGACCGCCACCAGTTCAGACAAGTGTACATACATTCATCCAAAAAGCATGTGTCGGCCTGACCCTGCCTATGGGACTCTACCAGGCATGGGAAGCAAGACAGACAAGGTCCCTGTGTCCCAAGGAAGAAATCAGACTAGAAATGAATTGCAAGAATGAGGCTTGAGGGGTGGGTGAGTGCTCTTGGTCACCTGGAAAGCATGGCATGCCTCTGAGGGACACAAGGGTGGGTGGGTATACAGAAACTAAGAGCAAGTGGCACTTGAGCTGGAATCGGAAGGATGCCTAGGACGGGGAGAACATTCCAGGTGGAGGAAATCTCAGGCAAAGGCCCTGGGGCAGAGTCTTGGGCCACTTTGAGTATCACCTGGAAGCTGGTGTGGTCACGTGTGACTTCAGCAGTCACGGAGCGTCCACCCCTTCTTCCATTAACACTGAGCCTCACATGCTGGCCACTGCTGGACTCTGTCCAGAAGGCCAGATCGGCTCCCTGCACTTTCTCTGGGAGATCCCAAAGGTCTAACCCTTCTGCCTCTTTGCCTCCCAGCACCCACCCGCTCCAGCTTCACACCCCTGTGCCTGCCATCAGGGAGCCCACACCCCTGTGTGCTCAGAACCATCAGTGGATGCGTGGCAGGTCGCAAGGGCTCCCTGGGTTGGTCCCCAGCTCTACCCAGCTGGGTGAGTCTAGGCACCTCACTCTGCCCTCCGGGTCTTGGTTTGATGGTGGCAAAATGACCCTGGCACTTGCTGCCCTAATTGTGACATGGGCTGGCTGGAAGAATGAGCAGCCTGCACGTGACAGTTCCCTCTATCAACTGTGCGTTTGTGCAGGACCTCACTCCAGGCGGGGACGGGGAGGGCGTGCGGCTTCCAGTTCTGCCACCTCTGAGTGTTTAGGGAGTCTGGACTGGTTCCCAGGATCTCCTCAATGGACTCACATGCCTGGCAATGGGTCCGGGAGATACAGGAGCCCAGACAAGAAAGGCTCCCTGCCAGGGTGCCCCTGACCACAGGGACTTCCCGGCCTCACTTCCTGCTCTCGTTGGTGGTGGCTTCCCAGGCTAGAGGGCTAAGACCGCTAAGCTTTGCCTGACAAGTCTTCAAGTAGCTTTTGAAGAGAAATGCCTGTTTGCTGAGGAATCAGAAACCAAACTTGCAAACCTGGAAACTTTGTAAAGGCCACTTTGCAAACCTGGAAAGTTGAGCTGAGCGCAGCCTGTGAAGCTGCTGGCGAGCTGGTCACATCTTGTGACAATGCACATCATTGTGCATTTCTGGGATGACAAATAGGAAGTCACGTGGTGCAGGGGGCTCTGGTGCCCAGGAGGTCAAATCTCAGCCTCACAGATTTTATCTCGGTGCTCTTTGCAACATCTACAAAATGAGGGCAGACTGCTGCCACGTCATAGTGCAGTTTAGGACTGAGCGGACTAGTGGAAGGAGCTTAGAATAAGCACGAAGTCCTCAGCCCTCTGTGTCCGCAGCTCCGCATCTGTGGGTTCAAACAACCGTGGACTGAAAATAACTTCAAAAAGGCCTGTGTTGAGATGCTGTGGAATCCCAGCAACTCAGGGGGCTAAGGCAGGAGGATCGTAAGTTCAAGACCAGACTCAGCCACTTAGTGAGACCCTGTCTCAAAATAAAACATAAAAAGGGCTGGGGATGTGGCAAGGTGACTAAGCACCTCTGGGTTCAATGGCCGGTACTAAAAGAAAAAAAAATACTTAAAAAAAATGGCCCCTGTTCTGAACACATTCAGATGTTTTGGGTCATTATTCCTTGGATAACACTGTGACAGCTATTTACATAGCCCTCACATTACATCAGGTGCTAGAAGTGATCTAGAGATGAGTCCAAGTGTACAGAAGGACGTTCTCATCGTGTGTAAACACTGTGCCACTCCACATAAGGGACTTGAGCACGGATGGATTGGGTATCTGCATGGGGTCCTGGAGCCAGTCCTCTATGGACACTGGGGGACCACAGCATGAGCTATGATTATCGTGGGCTTGGGTTTGATTTCTTCCCTGGGAAGCTTGCATCTGGACTAGTCTAGGGCTGGTCACTAAGAGTAAACTTGGCTGCCAGTCAGGGCCAGAGTATTACAAGTCCATCAGGGCAGGAGCCTGGGGTTTCCTGTTGGCCCTGACACTGAGCATGTCCAGAGGTCGTGAGGGTCCTGTTATGGGCACCTGAGCCCCCCAGTGCCTGGCCCACCCAGAACTCCCCTGTGCAGGATTGCCACCACTCCTCCAAAGCTTTGCAGCTTTGAGGGGGACAGTGGACTGGCAGAGGGTGCTTGGAGCATCTTTCCCAGAGCTGGGGGCAAATGGTAGAAGTGAGGAGGACTGGAACTCAAGGACTTGGGAATTCCAGGTGTCCAGGGACCCTGGTCCATGGGAAGGGGCTTCTGAAGAACGTTTAGGAGCCCTAACCTCAGTGACGGTGATGCATTGCTTGCTCCAGCACTGACCCACCTGGCACCAGAACACTGCCTGGAGACGGGACAAAGGACAGACAGAGGAGGGGGGAAGGCAGGAGGTAGCAGGGGAGAGGAGTGAGACATGAGGTCAATGTCCTCAGAACCCCTCTCTTGGTTTGTCTCAAAGGTTTGTCTCTCAGGTGAGAGAGACCCCCAGACTCCCCAAGGGAAGTGTCCTGGGGGGACAGAAGTCTGGGCCATTAGCTGGGCTCAGGGCAGGGCTCGCGCCGCTGTGGGAAGACCAAGGGTTTTAGCTGTGGGAGCCTGAGCAAGAACCCTGAGGTCTGAAGAGGGTGGGATTGGTTTCACAGTACCGATGACTAAACCGTTGAACTTTTCCCATGGTCACAGGTAAACCCCAAAGACCTGGTTCAGAGTCTGCAGAGCTGGATCCAGGTCAGCCTATAAGACAGCCCCTGTTCTCTGAGCCGCGTGGGCCTTCTTTTAGTTCCTCACAGTCACCTCCTCCTTCCGCCTCAGGACGTTGACATGCACCAGGCTCCCTACGCTGCTCTGCGCTCCAGCTGGACCATTTCCACCTCAGCTCAGATGCTTCATGGGGGGTCCACCCTGTAATATCTGTCCCCTGGGCAGGTCACAGTAAGAACCACATCCGTTTTGTTCACCATTGTGTCCCTAGCTCATAGCATGGGACCCGCCCATAGATGAATGGACCCACACGTACTAAGACTCTCCCACCCTGGCGTGCAGACACACACACACACACACGCACAAACACACTCTCACACACACACATACACACACACTTAGATATTCACAGGTGACTGAGACTCCTGGACATAATGTTCACAAGTGGCCGCACATTAAGCCACACAAGCTCACATCAACTGAGTCAAGACGGGCCCGCTCTGCCAGGCCGAGGGTCTGTTCTGCTAGGAACAACCCCATCTCCGTCACCCCAGCTCACAGGCAGTCAGGTGAGACCGTACCTGACCTTGTCCCCAGGTCATGGCTAACTGACCAGTGGCCGGTGCCTGGTTTAAACTAACACACTTCCAGAAGTAAGGAGTGACCTCAGAGAGGCCAGGCCACATACTGTCCCCAGGCTGAGGACTCCTAACTCCACGAGCCGTGGGGTGGCCACCTTCGCAGGGGCACGGAGCAGCAGGGGTGGCCACCCTGCAGAGAGAGAACCACACAGGTGGACAGATGCAGAAAGCGAACACGGTGACCTGGAGGGATCCACCATCGCGGCTGCCTTTGCTCCTCCCAACTCTCCTGTTTCCAGTGAGCGTCTCTCACGAAGCCTGAACTTCCTGTCACTGTGTCCCATCCCTTTGCAGCCAGAGCAGGTTCAGACGTGTCTGTCCCCTCTATTATTTAGATAATCCTACAAAATCCAGCAAGCCGCACAGAAGGAACTGAAGAAGCAGGAAAAGCAGGAATGCGGAAGGGCAAGAATCCAGCCAGACCCGCTGAGGAACACGAAGCGCCACTGGAGGCCACTCGGCTGTGACGCAAGTGGACTGGCCTGCGGCTTCGTCTGCCCGACCCCGCCTCGAGTTGGTGACCTATTCCTCTTTTTCTCACTCCAACCAAAATGTTTAATGATGATTTTATTGGGGTACAATCAACATCTGAAAAGCCGACCACGTTTAATGGATGCCTCTCAACTAGCTTGGGGATGATTATACACCTGTGAGCTAAATTGTCACCCCCAAGGCCAGAGATCATCTAATCTACCATCCCCTTTCAGCCTGCTCCTGCCCCTTCATTGTTATTGTTATCGTTAGCATCATCATTGGGGGAAGAATAAAACCTACTCTCAGGACAACTGGAAGCATATAATGTCGTTAGTGGCAGAGGCTCTTCTCACACAGACGGTCTCCAGAACCCATTGATCTTATGTAACCGAAACTTTGCACCTTCCCAGTCCCCTTCTCCAGCCTCAGCCACGGAGACCAGGGCAAAGGACAGGTAGCTGATTATCAAAGGAAAGGAAATGGGTAGAGAGCATTCCTGCTAACCGCCTCCAGGGGAGGGGAGGATTCCATCTCCAACAGAAACAGTCACCCGTGACTCTCTTCCTGCCCTTATGGTCACGTAGGCAGGATGGGAGGGAGCATGAGAAGAAAGGAAATCTGAAATCTATAAAAGGGGCAGGACACCCCACTCCCTTGGGCACCAGCTTGGACCCCTCCTCTACGGAGGAGTGTCCCCCACCCACCCCACCCCCACTCTCTCTCCTCTCCTTTAAATAAACGTGTTTGCTCTCGCCCCGGCCTTTCCTGGGCACCCAGTCTTCGACACCGGGGGAGCAGGACCGATCCGGGTTTGTTTCCACACTGGTGTCATCCTCTCCTGCAGAGGCTCCAGAACCCGTCCACCTCTCACACCTGAAACTTGGCGGCTCTTCCCCCTCACCTTCCCCGCGCCCCTTCTCCCAGCCCTGGCAACCGCGGGTCTCTCTTCCGAAGTCCGACTATTCCAGATCCGTGTGTGGGTGAGAGGCACTGCATTGCCGCTCAGTGTCTGGATCCTTCCACGTCACACCATGTCCCCCAGGTCTGTCTGTATCTCAACAGCAGCAGGACGCCTCATTCTCAGTTTAGACAGCACTCCATGTATGGTCACACCATGGTCACTTCCCCTCTCGCCCTTCCCTGTCTTGGCTCTTGCCACCAGTGCTGCCCACTCAGCCGTCTTCCCATCCTCGGCCACACACATGGGACACGGACCTGATCCCCAGTTGGAATCCTGCTGATATCCTTCAGGCTGAAACCCAAGGGGCGGCTCCTCTTCCTCTCCCAGTGGCCAAGGAAACGGCAGAGCTGTGGGCTAGTTCAAGGTGGGGTTTTGTCCCCTGTAACAACAAATGATGGAGACAGCAAGAGACCCGTGAGCTCCTCTCGGGCATCTGCTCTGTGACATTTGCTCCCAAGCTCCTGTGCCAGGTGCTGTGTTAGATTCTAAGGAGGCAGCGCGTCTCTTCACGGAATCCAGACCCTTTACACCCCAGAAAACTGCCAGCCATCGCAGGATAATACACAAGAGGGTGAAGGGAGCACAGGGCTCGGAGGGAGCTCAGGCTTGGAAATGGCTCAGGGGAGGAGGATGGGGGGAGGGAGGAAGAAGGACTCCAGGGTAGCGAGGCCAGGGGACCGGCAATTTAGGAAGCCTTCAGATCTGAAGCGTAGCACTCAGCACAAAGGGCAAGAGGGGGCACCTGGTCCCCAGACCCCTTCACCCCGAGAGCCTTGGGCTTGGGGCAGAGCCAGATGTCCAGTGGGGGGGCAGGCCAGATGTCCAGCCTGGCTGGAGGTTGCATTTCCTCCATTGTATCCTCTTGTGGGGGGAGGGGTTGGGGGCTACTGGTAATTATAGGACCCTCTGTCCCTACACCAACCAGAACCAAAGTGCCTCTCTGCTGGTTGCTCCATATAACACGGTGGCTGGGCCTTGGGAAGCTCTGCCTCAAAGCTACCAGGGTCACCTGAACTAGTTCCCTCTCTGAGGCCAGGGGCTTTCAATGGGAAAGTAGAAGGATTTAGACCGTGGGATCTTGCAGTGCCTCAGAAAGACCCAGGGACGCGCCTCTGTGTGCTCAGTACAGGAACGAGTGACCAACCTGTGGTCTGTAACAGAGTTGCATCACCAGGGAGAGGAGGCTGTGCCCAGGGACAGAATAGTCCACCGCTGGAGGTTGCTTCAGACCCAGGGCCGGAGGCCAAGGTCGTGGACCTAGATCTCAGGAAGGCCTGTCTTCCTTTCTTGCAAAAACACAGGATGCATAGCTAACCTAGACCAGCCTCTCTGCCACTCTGGAAAGGGGGCCCAGACAGAATGTGTGCGGAGCCCAGCATGCAGTGGAGATCAGCATGCGACAGAGATCAGCATGCAGTGGAGATCAGCATGCAGTGGGGATCAGTGTGCAGTGGGGATCAGTGTGCAGTGGGGATCAGTGTGCAGTGGGGATCAGCGTGCAGTGGAGATCAGCATGCAGTGGAAATCAGCATGCAGTGGGGATCAGCGTGCAGTGGAGATCAGCATGCAGTGGAAATCAGCATGCAGTGGGGATCAGCATGCAACAGAGATTAGCATACAGTGGAGATCAGCATGCAGTGGGGATCAGCATGCAGTGGAAATCAGCATGCAGTGGGGATCAGCGTGCAGTGGAGATCAGCATGCAGTGGGGATCAGCATGCAGTGGAGATCAGCATGCAGTGGGGATCAGTGTGCAGTGGGGATCAGCGTGCAGTGGGGATCAGCATGCAGTGGGGATCAGCACGCAACAGAGATCAGCACGCATGGCCTTCCTGGGGGAGACACGGCAGGTTCCAACCTGTGTGGGTGTGGAGGAGGAAGAACTGAACAGAGAGGAGCTGAGCTGGGCAGCCACAGCACACCCCTGGCATGTGGCACTTACTATTATCTTATTTCTACCCCATCCCCCTCCACATTGGTTTATATATTCTTTGTATAGAAAAAATAATTACTGTGAAATTTTGCCATAAATATTTGACTTTTGAGAGTCTGAGGTTTACAAATGTCTGATTTTCCTTCTCCCGGTACATGGTTAAGAGTGTTTTTAACTCCGATCATCTCCTTCTCAACCTAGACATTACTGCTGAATGGCATTTGAATGGCATTTTAATTCTATCCTTGTTCTAAATTTTTGGACATTTTTTTCCAAACAAGACAAGCTTTGTTCAGAGTTTCCCACTTGGTTTTGACATGGGCGCCCCTTCTCTCCCACTTCCCAGATCTCCTGCAGGAAGCAGAAAAACGCCTCCCACACCTCCTAGAGCCACATCCTCTCCCCTGGGGGCCGTGAATAGGTTATGTCACACGGTAGAGGGGGAATTAAGATTATAAGTGGAACTAAGGCTTCTAATCAGGTGACCTTGAAATGGGGAGGTTATTCTGATGGCCTAGATGAGCCAGATTGAATTCTCTGAGTCTATAAAAGTGGAAAAGTGAGGTAGGAGAAGAGCTCAGAGTAACCAAAGGGATTCAATGACCATGGCTGGCTTTTAAGATGGAGGAAGGGGCCACAAGCCAAGGAACTGGGTGGTCTCAAGCAGACTCTCAGAGCCTCCACCAGCCCTGTGACACCTTAGCTCTAACCCAATGAGGCTCATGTCACACCTGCAGAACTAGAAGATAACTTTGTATTGTTTTAAGCCACTAAGTCTGTGGTAATTTGTTACAGCAGCTAATAGGAAACTAATGCACCTCCCCTTTGGGGGTCATCTTGAAACATCCTGTAGGTATTATTTTTTAGGAGGTAAGCACATCCAGAAATGTCTTTATTGTGTACTCTTCAAAGATCATTTTGGCAGGTACACAATCTTGTCACAGCTTTGTTAACAATTAAATTTTTCCTCAGCATTTCTAGGATGTCATTCAACTGTCTCCTAGTTTCTGTGTGGCTGAAAAGTCGGCTGATAGTCTGATTGCCAACTAATCTCTTTAGCTTTGGGTTTTACGCCACTCTCTATGATGCATCTATGAATTCTGTTTTATTTGTTCTTTTTTGTAGAATCTCTGTTTGCAGAATCTGTGGAGTCATTTATTTGCAAGTTCTAAAATATTGTCAGACATTAACTCTTCAATGTCGTTTTTCTCCTTGTTCTATTTTTGCTTTAAAGAGCTGTGGTTAGAGGTGTTGGGGCTTCTCCTCTGACCCTCAGGCTCATGACATATCTGTTATACACTGAATTACCTTGCTTTATTATTATGTATTCTGTGTAACTTTTATTCTTCAAGTACAATGGTTCAACTTTATTCATGGTGCTGTTTAAACCCATTTATTTGAGTTTTCCTTTCAACTCAATTTAATTATTTTTCAAATCTACCAGATCATTTGTTTTTCTTATCTCTTTGCTCCTGTTTTTATTCAATTTTTAGCTTAAATGTTTCCAAAAAATATTTTAATTTCTGAATCTAATAACTCTGAAGTCCCCAAGGGATCATTTTCTGCTTGAATTGTGAATGTCTGCGTGTGTAGAAGAAATTCCCCCTGAAACTTGTAAAGAAAAGAGAAAAAGCAAATGAAGTAAATTAAATTTCATATTAAATTATTAATAAACTTGACCTTCTAGTATAACAATGTAGCTCTTTGTTAAGGAAACAAAGCAACAATTAAACAAGAATTCTGGTTGCAGCAATTACTATACATGGTTCTTAACCTGAGAGGTGTTTGTGGAAATGACTCAGAAGTCATATAATTTTTTTTTTTTTGCTGTTTGTAAGAGTACAACATTTGCTTTTTACTTATTCTGATTAGTTATGTAAGACAGTAGAATGCACGTTGACACATCATATATAAATGGGGTATAACTTCTCATTCTTCTGGTTGCACATGATGTAAAGTCACAACCATCACATAATCATACATGTACATAGGATAATAATGTCTGATTCATTCTGCTGTCCTTCCTACCCCCGTGCCCCCTCCCCTCCCTTGACTCCCCTCTACCTAATCTAAACTGACTGTATTCTCCGCTAGCCCCACCTTAATTTGAATTAGTATATGATATATAAAACATTTAACACCAAAAAAAAAAACCCAATCAATAAATGGGCTAAGGAATTGAACAGACACTTCACAGAAGACATACAATCAATCAACAAACATGAAAAAAAATGTTCAACATCTCTAGCAATTAGAGAAACGCAAATCAGTATTACTCTAAGATTTCATCTTACCTCAGAATAGCAATGATAATAAATAAATGTTAGCGGGGATGTGGGGGAAAAAGGCACACTCGTACATTGCTGGTGGGACTGCAAATTGGTGCAACCATTATAGAAAGCAGTATGGAGATTCCT